GAGGGCAGGCCTTCTCCCCGGTGTGCTCACTAGCCCTGTGGTGTGTGTCCTCAGATGCGTGGGCTCCTCTCTGAGTTCCTTCCTTCTGTGCACGAAACAGGGACCCCATGGGCCCTTGTGAGGAGGAATGAGTGGGAATGGGGGTGCAATGACTGGCAGGTGTGAAGTGTCCCAGCCACAGCTGCAACAGCCTGTCCTGGAGTTAGGGGACCAGTGGGTCCCCTACAGGTGGGGAAAGGAGCCTGGCTGCTTGTACCTCCTCTGAGTGTTCCTCCCTTGCTTTGGCCTGTCTCTGCTTCTCACTTTCTAAGCCTAAACTGCGCGCTCCTTCCTCCCACATTGAACTTGCTCCCAAGGGAAAGCTGCCTGAGTCATACCTAGCAGCAGCGCCCCACTGCGACACCAAGTTACGGGGTAGGAGGCAGGGGCAGTTCTGGCTTCCTAAATTCACAGCCCTCCTTTGAGCTGGTCCCTTAGCTGGTGGAGAAAGAGAGCTGAGCACCCTTTCCCACCTACCTGAGTTCTGTAGGACCCTCGGGGCTCCCCTAATCCCGGCATCCTGCAGGGCCACTCTCCCCTCTGCCACAGCCCAGCTCACCTTCATGAGGTCCCGATGGTGTTCCAGCACACTGCAGGTCGTCTGCCACGTGTCTTGGTAGCATTCCCATGGGTCCACCCTAACATCATCAGAGAGAGGTTTCCATCGGTTTCCATTTCCACACACCTTTCTTACCGTCTCCTTCTAAGACCATAGCCTAGGACCCTTGGCAGACCTGGCCATACTATGAGCTCAGATCAGTAAGGCAGATAAAATCAGGGTGTGAAACACTTTTCTCATCCTCAGTCTCCTCCTCCACAAAATGAGAGGGGTATGGTGTGGTCTTAGGAGGATGGATGCTGGGGCCAGTCTGCCTGGGTATGATTCCAGTCTCAGCGCTTTCCGCCTGTGTGACTCTGGGAAACATATACGACGTCTCAGCGTCTTAGTTCCCCATCTGTGAAATGTGAGCATCTCCAGTAACTGTCTTATGGTTTTGTTAGAAAGTCTCAGTAAATTTCCTAGGTGCAGGGACTAGTAGTACAGCGTCTCGCTCTTATTCTTACCCTCAAATGGCAATTCTCCTTTGGGCCTTCTGGGATTGTAACAAGGATTAAATGAGCCAGGCCCTCATCAAGTGGTGGCCAAGCTTGTGCTTGACAGGCTTGGAGTCCTGGAGAATCAGCTCTGTTGGCCTCCCCCTGTGCAGGGGTGCCGTGTCGGGGGGGAGCAGATTGGAAGGCACAGGCCGCAGGCTGGCCAGCCCCTCCTGCACACTCAGCTACCTCAAACTGATGCAGCACTCCGGCGTAATTGCCACTTAATGAGCTGCTAAATCAAGATATTTCTCGAACATTTTCTTAGCATTTCCCTGTGCGCCCTCCCGCTCCCCTCCCCATACATATACATTTAAGGTTCCCAGAGATGAGATCTCAGTAGCTGAAAACTCTTAGAGAGTCAGCTTGCCCTGAGCTGGCTCCTTCTGACCCTGACCACCCCCTCCCTGCCCCACGTGTGCATGTGTACCCAAAGATAGACAAACTCTTGACCTGCTAAACAGGTCCCTGTGTCAGGGACCCTCCACAGCCTACCCCTTGTCTGATGCTAGCTCCTAGACTCCCCAGTGTTCTCAGGTCTGGGATTCATGATTTTCCAAGTGTGGGGCAAGTAGTAGGGGCAGTAAATGTTTATGGAATGAATGAGAGAATTATTCTACAATCTTCTAAGCACATCCAAGCAGTAACAGCCTCCTGGCCAGTGATTTCCCCCTCCAGAGATCAGGAGTTAACAACGTTAAGTGGCCTGGTTTCTAATCCTGACTTGACCACTGACACACAGACATACCATTGCTCAAGCCCCTGGACTTCTCCAACCCCGTTTCTCACCTAAGACAAAGCAGCTGTCTGTCTACTTAACCTTTGGCTTGAGGAGGATGAGAGAGTCTACAAAGGGCATGTACTTCTCACACAAATGGCACTGATCCCTGTTTAATTATTATTGTCCCTTCCCTTCACAGCTCCCACTCCCGCCCACCCTGTCTCTTCCCGGTCTGACTCTCCACATCCCACATTCTGAGGTCAGTCAGCTTCCCACCATCTACTCCCTTTCATGGAAACCTCTAGATGACTCTCATTTTTCCACTGGGGAAATTATAGCACAAATGGTGTGCCATTATTTTTTCAAAACATCATCTTCTAATGCAAATTATAATGGTAGGAACTTTGGGGAGCATAATTAGCATAATTAGCGGAAGCTTGCTTTAATTACACAGCAGGCTCAGCTGACGGTGGGGTGTTTGGGGGAGGGGGGGTTGCCATCTTAGCTGCACTTTCTGACCAGATAGGCAGTGACAAGCAAGGCACCCACTGGGCGTGACTTGGTCTGGCTGCCATAAAGGGCAAGGCTTGTGGGCCCCATGTCGCACCACTGTCCCAAGTCTGTGAGAGGCCCTTAGAGAGCCTGAGTTCGGGGAATCGGCAATTACCAAGACCAGGGACATTCCCTGAAAGGTAGTGAGGATTAATGCATGTTAGTGGGAATGAGAGTGGGAGGCATTTCAGATTTTCTGACCTTGCCTCATCCAAAACCAAGTGATGCTTCTAGAAGCTCTAAAGATCACTTCAAGACTCAGAGGTGCCAAAGTAGATGAAATACTTGAATTTCCCTTTTTAATTTCAGGGCCCCATAGCTTGGCTCAAAATTAAAGTTACCAGTTGGGCCACCTGGAGGTCTACCTAATGATTGCCCACAGAAGGCTATCATTCTCCCCCTCAAAACTTTTCAGGATCCAAATCCTTGCTGGGATTCTTTCTCAACCCCTCACTTCCCCACCCCATGAGTCCTGGGCCCACCTGCCCCTGGCATCACCAAGCCAGCCCTACCTGATCCAATCGGAATTCTGGACGGCCAGCTGACACATGATGAGACGGTGCCGGCTGGACACCAGGCCCTGGGGAGCAACAGAGCAATCATTGGGAGACTCCCTCTGCTCCCCCATGACACCCCACAACCCCATCCCAGGCCACCCCAATATAAAAGTGCTGCCGTTTTTGTTGGTGAGAGGGCATGAGGGATGTGACCCCTTCACTTGTCCATCTGCCACACAGACAGGCATGGAGTGGCAGAGGGACAAATAAAGAATGGAGGGTGTGCAGCGTGTACCACCCCAACAGGGTCACTAGATGAGCCTCCATCTATGAAGCAATCCCAGGTGCCCTGCACAGAGATGAGACTTAACTCAGCAAATGTTGCCTTGTCTCATGGCTCAGTCTGGCTGGTTGGGTGACTTCCCCCAGGGCCCACCAAGTTGCATCTGTGGGAAAAAGGGGGAATGTCTGCTAGAGCTCCTAGATTTCCTGGGACATGTGGCAGGGAGGTAGGGGCAGGGAAATGAATTTTACATCAGATTATAAGAGGCATGGGCCATTTTCTCCTAAAATCCTGGCAAAGACTTGCCCTCTGCAGCTCACCCCACAGCTAGCCACAATTTGGCATCTATCCTATCAAGTAGCACCCAGAGTCAGCTGTCTGTTAATGAGTTCTGGGCCCAGCAGGCCCTGTGAGCAGTGGGTCCTCAGAGATGCTGCTCCAACACCCACCCACACAGGTCTGACCATGGTCCTGAGCTGGGAGACAGGCCTGATCTGGGGCATTTTGCATTTCCAGGAATTTTAACAGAGACAGCAGGGGGGGCAGTTTTATGCTGGAGGAGCTATCAGGCCAGAGAAGGGGTGAAGGACAGGGCCAAAGGAAGGAACCCACCTGTTTTCCGTAGGAGTCGTGGACAGGGGAGACAATCCCACCAATCACGATAAACCTTCCAGTCTTGTGCAGATAATCCCTGGCTCTTTCTAATTAAGAAAAGAAACCCACACGTTATAAAGAGGAAAGGTGCAGAGGAAAGGAGATAGTCACCAGCAGTATGTTCAGCTCTGTATGCTAAGGTCTATTTCCCATTTTTCTTGCCATTTAAATAGTAAGTGTCAACTTTCAAAGCAAACATTGGCGATTTAAAAGGTTAAGGAACCAGATTTCAGCCCCCAGAGCAAAAGGATTTAGAACTCATGGGGATTAATCCTGTTTTAAAGGTCCTCAGTGGGTCCTCTGTGCAGCTCAGGAGGGTTTAAAACAAGCACCTCATTAACAGCCATTAGAGGTACACACTGGAATTTACTGCTATTGTCACTTGCAGAAATTCCAATGTGGAGGAACTTTTTTTTTTTTAAAAAGCTTCCTTATAATATGAAAGATGCGCTGATTGCCTCCCTAATTATTCAGAAGAGAAAAACCACCCAAACAAATTTAAAAGACCTTGCACATAATTATGGAGAATCAGCAATCAACCCAAAGACCATCCTCATTGGTGCTGGTGGAGAGAAAAGTTGGGCTACTGGCTTTTTTTCTTAGGAAGAAAAGAATGTTGCTTTTCCAAATGTATCAGACAAGCCCAATTTTATTTTGTGATAACATTCAGCAAACTAGGAAGGGGCTGAAAAGTCTTCTATCTTACTTCCTAGGGAGTTCATTGTACAAACCCCAATAGGGCCTGAGCTCGCACCGCAGAGGAAATCTGGCCTGGAAGAGAATTTTTAGGTGGACAAGGGCCTAAGCAGCAAGGCTGGCCATGTAATTTATAAGCAAGTTTCCAGGATTAACTTGCTACCTCTCTTAACATTCAGAATTCTCTCCACATTAGGTGCTACCATTTTTTTCTTTCAATGTGAAATCTCTTAGATGAAAAGAATTAATTTCAGCAGTGTTTTAGATTCGCCGAATAACTGAGCAGGTTGTACACAGAGTTGCATATACTCAAACACCACCCCCCATATCTTTTTAAAAACCCCCCCCACAGTTTCCTCCATTATATTAATAATCCTGCACTGATGTGGCACATTTGTTATACTTGAGGAATCAACACTGACACATTATTAACTACAGTCCATGAAAGGGGGTTCGGTGATGTACCCAGGATGAAACCAGAGAATGGAGATGCAGGCCAGGTTTAATGAAAGGGACAGAGATGCGCCTGGGCAGGGCAAAGATGGAGTCTGCACCAAGGGTGGTTGGAGGTCTCTTTTTATATAAGGGTCATAGGGGGTGGATAGATTCCATAGCCTGTTGGAGGATTCTGGTAGGTCAGAATCCTTCCAACTTGAACCTCTGGGGCAGGGCTAACGAGGCCTTTTGTGTTCCAGGTGGGGAGGGGCACGGAGGGGCAGGTCTGTGTGGTGCCACGCTGGGCCTCCACAGTCCATAGTTTACATTAAGATTCACTCTCTGTGCTCAAGACTTCTATGTAAGTTGACAAATGTATAACATAACTCCGTCATTATAGTATCACACAGAATATTTCACTGCCCTAAAAATCCACTATGCTCCTGCCACTCATCTGTTCTCTTTCTCCCAACTCCTGGCAACCAGGAGTTTTTATTTATTCTATAGATTTGCCTTTTCCAAAATGCCATAGAGTTGGAATCATCCTAGTATACAGCCTCTCCAGACAGGCTTCTTTCATTAAGTGGTATGCCTTTAAAGTTCTTCTGTGTCTTTTCACGGCCTGATAGCTCATTTCTTTGTATCACTGAATAATATTCCATTGTCTGGAAGTGCTTCAGTTCATTTATCCACTCATCTACCAAGGGACAGCTTGGCTGCTTCCAGTTTTTAGTGATTATAAATGAAGATGATATAAAATTCGTATGCAGATTTTTGTGTAGACATAAGTTCTCAATGCAGTTGAGTAAATACCTAGGAGCCATATGGATTGGGTGGTAAGAATATGTTTAGCTTTGTGAGAAACTGCCAACTGTCTTCCCAAGTGGCTAGCACATTTTGCATTCTCACCAGCCCTGAATGAGAGTTCCTATTGCTCCAAATCCTTACCAGTATTAGGTATTGTTGGGTTTGGAGATTGCAGCCATTCTAAAACGTGGGTCATGTTTGATTTTTAAAAGAGTAATATTACTTTGTTTGTTTTCACGTGTTATTTGGGGGTCAAGTTAAAGGCCTCATAACGAAACTCTTCTGCTATTTGAATGAATTCCACAGCCCCTCTTTCTTTCTCTTCATGCCCCAGTCTTCCTCAGGATCATTTATATCTGGCCCTTGGCTGTCACAGACTCTCTCTGACCTCCAAAAGCTGCCTTCTCCTTACTCTCCACTGAGAGTGAGGCTGAGCCCTGCTTTCAACGCCCAGCCCTGCCCTGCATCCAGCATTCTCCCCCCCTGCCCTTATTGCCCTATGTCCAGTCTAAAGGACCTGAAAACTGTTTCTGAAAGTTTATGCCCCAGCTCCTCTTCTGTACTGCGTGTCCTCAAAGCCAAGGGCTTTGCTGTAGATGAGAGGTCCCAAAGTCGAGGCTAAAGGAGAGGCGCAGTTAAGATGCATGTGAGAAGCAAGCTGGATATAAGAGGATTTGTGTTCAGCTGCTCGTAGGTCAAACAACCTTGACATTGCCTGTTGAACCACTGCATGGGCATAAGAAAATACATCTGTGTTCCAAATATGGCCCAGTCTGTCACCTATGCTAAAGATTTCTTTGGCCCGAAGGCACCCAGCAAAGTGACTTCTTTACTGAACAACAGATAAGCAATAAGTGCTCACACTCAGCAGCACCTCTAGCTGCCAGTCCCTATTCTTGCCCTCCAGAGCAGCGTTTTTCAACCTTTTTTTATCTCACGGCACACTTGAACCTATAGTTAAACTTCTGCAGCACACTTAAATTATGTTGATCAAAAAAAGAGTTAAAAAAAGAATATACTTACTGTGTGTTGAACTCCTTTCAAAAATAATTTAATTAATGATCTCTAAAACTTTTTCATGGCACACCTAGGATCCTCTCACAGCACAGCAGGGTGCCATGGCCTATCATGAAAATCACTGATTTAGAGTGGGCTTCCATGGAGCGGCCTCGGCCCAGAGAGCCATTCACTCCATTCCTTAGACCACGCTCCAGAATTGCCAGGGGAAATTCATTGTGCTAAGGAATCTCATTGCCTTGCCCTTTTCTTCTGGCCACGATGAGGCGCCCATTCCCCTGGCAATGTCCCAGCGTTCACTGCCTGACAAAGGAGCAGTAGCTGAAAGGAACAGTCCCAACCCCAAACCCTAAAAAAGACACTTGATAGGAATAGTTAAGCCCAGAAAAGTTATGATTGGGATCACACAGTTCAGTTCAACTCGATACATGTTTATTAAGCACGAAACACCACAATGGAATTATACCGATATGGGGGTAAAGATGACTTTATTATTCTCCAAAGGTTCACAGTAAAAGAAAACAGAAGGCTATACTGTTGGCTGTCATGAGAGGCCAGTTGGGATGAAGGCTCTAGCAGTGGCTCTCAGTGTTGTAGCTTTACTGCAACCCACCAGGAATGCATTTTATTATTATTATTATTATTATTATTATTTGGCCGGGGCTGGGTTTGAACCCACCATCTCCAGCATATGCAGCATATGGGGCTGGTGCCCTACCCTTTTAAGCCACAGGTGCTGCCCTAGGAATGCATTTTATATCATAACACAAACGTATGTATGTATATGTCTGTATATTTAACTGAAATAAACTCATGCCCTTTCTATAGTATCACACATGGATAATTTCTAGTGTATTGTATTCTAGTAATCAAATTTAAATAAAAATCTGGTCACAACCCACCAATGGGTGACAACCTGTAGTTTGAACAACTCTGCTATAGTCCAGATACCAGAGCAAGGAGAAAAAGGAACAGGAGAGATTAATTTTGCCTGGGGAAGTTAGGAGTGGCTTCTTGGAGGATATATACTTTTAGTTTGGCCCTGTAAGAAGACAGGGCTTCAACAGACAACCTGAGGGAAAGCTTTCTAAGCCGAGAGGATTCCCAGCAAATACTCAGAACTGGTACAGCAGAAAGCATATCTACCAAGTGGTTCCATGTCAGTCACTACAGTTGAGATGTGGGGGTAAGTGGGAAGGAGGGGTGCTATTGGCTAAGTAAGTTGAAATCAAACTGTGGAGGGCTCTGAAAGTCAGGCCAAGGATCTTTACCCCAGAGACCACTGTCAATGTGGTCAATGTGTTCAGCAGATTAATTACATCAGAATTGCCAGGGGTAGGTTATTAAAATGCAGCTCCCTAGGCCTCAGAGCAGTTACTGAATCAGAATCTCTGGGGTTGGGACTTAACATTCTGCATTTTTAACTGGTTTCCCCAGGTGATTCTTCTGTTCCCTAAAGACTGAGAACCATACACACGTGTAGACAACAACCACACGGCTGAGAACTACAGACAGTAAGAAATTATTGAAGGCTAGGAAACAGGAGCATGGCAAGCTGTGAGTTGGAAGAAGACTTCACAGAAGTCATAGCAAAAGTGGTAAAGATGATCTAGGAAGTAAAAATCCTACCTTAAAAGAGACAGTCACTCCAGGCCAGAAATTTGGTGGTGGGTCATGAGGGATGGATAAGAGAGAAGACCCATCCAAATCCCCCAAAGGGTGGTCAGGGGCACAGAAAACTGGATTCTCTGTGCCTTCTAGACATCTTGACCTTGCTTTGCCTCTGGAGCTTTGCAGTTAGATAGGTCACTGCCATGCCACCAACCTCTTGTTTTCATTTTTTTACCCATCACCTCAGGCATTTATCATTTCTTTGTTTTAGGAACTCTTTTTTTTTTTTTTTTTTGAGACAGAGCCTCAAGCTGTCCCCCTGGGCAGAGTGCTGTGGCATCACAGCTCACAGCAACCTCCAACTCCTGGGCTCAAGCGAGTCTCCTGCCTCCGCCTCCCAAGCAGCTGGGACCACAGGCGCCCGCCACAACGCCCGGCTATTTTTTGGTTGCAGCCGTCATTTTTGTTTGGCGGGTCCGGG